AGTAGTGATTGATGTAACCAAATATATTATACTATTTTGCTATAATACAGTAAAAGCCATGTTATCCAGCACTTCATTAACTGGCATGCTCCATTAACTGGCATGCTGGTCGATGCGGCAAAAGTGAAACTGGAAGTCCCACTTCCAGTTTTGTTGAGTCTCACTTCAGGCCTGGCCCAGGGCAAAGCAGTCTGCGTGGGGCCCCACTCCTTGTCCCCCAGCATGCTGTCACCAGGGGAAGGGCATGAGGGGTGGCATGGTGCCTGTCCCCCAGCACACTGACGCACCGGATGCAGCGGTGGCCCCAGCAAAGATGCCTCTCAAGCATATTTAGTTATCCAGCACCCCCCCATTACCCATAGGGGCCAGATAACAGAGCTTTTGCTGCATATCTATTTTTGTTAAGATGCTTAGATAATTTGTAAAAGCAAAACAGCCTTGTCAAAGACCATAAACTAAGGTTAAAAAAAATGACCAGTGTAACCCTCCTTTTCACTTTCCCAAGGATATAAATCCCAACTAACTGACATCTTCCAAGTCCACAAGAGATCTGCAATCCAATTCCAAGAGTTTCAGTGAAACAAACACAAACACATTTTAATAAAACCAATCAGAGATCATTTGTTAGAATTAGAACCAGCTATCTATAATTTTGGGTATAGCCTGGAGGGAAATTTGGACTATTCAGCAATTTCAAGACCTGCTGCCAATCTGCATGCCATCCTCCTCCATCTCTTGAGTCTCCCCATCTGGTATACATTGTGCTGTCATAGGCAGCCAGATAGACTTTGTTTTTGTGTTTTAAATTGCAAAAAAATAAAAAGTTTGGCTGTAGAACTGCTTCTGCCTTTTATCAGTAGCTTACCCACAAGTTTACCCATAATCTAGGTAACAGACTACAGTCACATTTTCTCTCAGGCCCCAACAAATATTCTATGTAAAAGTTTCAAACTCATTTTCCAAATGATAAAAAACATGATATTTTTCATTATTTCATTGAAACTATTTGCTGATATTGACCCACATTCACAAATAGTTTTCAATGACATTTAAATATACTTTATAGCACACAAGTTTCAACGAAGAAAAAACTACCCAACTATATTCTGAAAGCTGATTAATTATCTTATCTTTTTTTAGACAGAATGACCAGAGCTCAATACAATTTTGCATGGGAGGCAGCACATTTTTGGTTTACAACAGCATAACTAATAAAGTTGGCATAATTTATAACAACATACTATGCTATTTAGTTAGATTTTTTGACCACCACAGGGCACTAAGCAACTATCTACAACAAACGTCTAAAAAATTACATAAATAGAAACATGTATGAGTAGTTCAAATTATTCTTACACACACATACTGGCTTACAGTTTTCAACACTGAATTCAGTCTGCCATCACCTTTCTCCTTTCATTTACAGTTCTGTATGGTCCTTGTGCAGGTTCTCAGTCTTTTATAACTTAAGTAATTCTGGATAAACTGCTAATTGTTACCTCACTACTCACCCACTTTACTGCATCTTTGGCACATTAGATAACAATGTTCAGAACTGACTCTAAGGAACACTACACTAGTAATATTTTACCATGTGGAAAACTCAAGTACATGTCAGAATGCATCTTAGATTATCTAGTAACAAAAATCTCTAACTATAATGGAAATTTTTAAAATAATCTTTGAACAGAAGTTAAGACACTTAAAATGCATTCACAGTATATTCTAAGCAGTATGAAATAATGCATAATATTTATCTTACATCAGTTTTAAGGGATGCTTTTTTACTACATCAAGCTTTTGCCTTTGGGTTTCCTTTAGTGAAACAATAAATTAATGCAAGACATCATATTTTCTCATACCACCCCCCCCAATAAGACACATAGCTGGTGCTGGAAAGGCAGAATGAAGGGAAAACTTATTTCCCCTAGTCATGGTCAAATGGTGATTACACGGACCAGTGGAAGTTTACACTTCAATCACCCAGCCATTGCTCAACCAAAAGCTAGAGTTCAACTGAAAAGCTGTTCAGACAAAAAGCTACTACCTTCCTCTTCTTCGGCAATCCCTTGCAGTTGAGGATGATTGCCTTCCACAACTGTCTTATCTGTGCATCCGAAGATGGCTGATGAGGCCCATCCAGGATCAAGAGATCCTGCAGTTTGGACTTGTGTTTCTGTGTGGGGTGGGTGGTGCTGGATTCTTGATTTAGTCCATGATATGCAGTTTCTGGCACTACTGCTGTTGTCATGAGGATTCAAAGTACTGAGATCCCTGCAGCAGACTCTTCCTCCACTTGACATGGTCCTAGGTGATAGTCTCTTATGAGTTTACATAAATATTGTTTTTCCTTTTTAAGTTGGCCTTGAGGACATCCCTGAAACACTTTCTCTGCCCTCCTCTTAAGCATACACATGGCTGAGCTAGGAAAATAATACTTGCTTCGGGAATCTGGAATCAAACATCTGGGTGACGTGGCCAGCTCAACGAAGTTGATGTTGACTGATCATCACCTCCATACTCATACTGTTTGCTTGCAGGAGGACAGTTACAGTGGTGTGCCCATTTTCCCACTGGATCCAAAGGATCTTCCACAGGCAGCACTGATGGGAAGTGGCTGTGAGAGGGCTAAAACTCTAGCTCTGATGCTAAAGAGTGGACTCTGCTTCTGCTGCATACTGGTTGAGAAAGATGCACAGCTCCCAGCAGCCATTCCAGAATCTTCATGCTTCCTTTCCAGCACAAATATGAGCTTCTCTGCATACAACACACAGCCCAATTTTGGAGGGCTAATTTTGGGGGAAAAAGGTGTGCGTGATTTGCAGGAATCCTGGTTTTCTCAGATTTAAACAAATCCCCAATATTTGGTTAAAAAAGGTAATCCCAAATTCACATTTTTCTGCAATTTAAATGAAACACCACTAATATACAGATATATATTACTGGTGTTTCATTTTAATTATGGAAAAATGTAAATTTAGGGTTACTTTTTTTCAACCAAAAATTGGGGATTTGTTTTAAAATCAGAGAAAACCAGGACCCCTGGGATTTGTAAATAAATATGGTGCATTTCTTTACAAAGTATTATTCCTCAGAAAAGAGGTTCCACTCTGGCTTGATCCCCCAGTTAAAACTCAAATTTTTTTGTGTATGAATGATTTGTATACTAATAATGTCACAAATTAAACTTAAGCACTGATTGTGGGATTAAAATATTATGGGGCAAACTCCAATTTAAACACAAGCAACTTCAATAACTGACAGGCAAACATAGGGAAATATGAAAAACACATGTAAATGTTTATTTATTTAAATTTTTGCTTTGAAGAAGCTGTTAGTGTAGAATTTCTATTTGCCAAAATTTACTAATTGGTTCCTTAATGTGCAAAGTACAATGGGATAGCATTTAATCACCTTCAATTTAAAAATGAGCTTTTCTGGGTATAAAAAGGTACTTAAACATTCAATTATGAAAAAAGTAAGCGCTCTCTTTTTTTTGGATCTAGAAAAGATAACCTTTCTGAACATGAAGCTATGTTTTCTTCCTAGCCTTAAATACAGCGGTAGAAGCTATACACTGTTCTTTGGGGGCGGGGGGAAGGGGGATATACAACAGCATGGTGAAAAAACTGGAGATAATAGAGAGTTTCACTGCTGTTATTTAGAGCCTTGTGGGCCACAGTCAAACTGCCCATCATGTCAATGTCACTCGATATCTACTTTGAATAACTGCCCCCAAAAAAATCCCTAATCTTCACAACCAATCATAGAGAAAGGAACCCACGCGCAAAGACACATTATCCTCTCTGAAACCAGTCTAACAGCTAGGAAGGGTGAGATGTTCCCATAAACATCTGTCATAAGGCTCAAAATGGGAAGGGCACGTGTGCAACTTCAATTTTAACCCTATTTCTTGACTTCTGAATATTCATCGTGGAACCCTAACTTCTCTTAACAGTCAATTACATTAAATTTCCTATTTTTTAAAGGAAATTAGTACTTTGTTTATCTATTGTACATAGCTAGATACAACAGGAATATTCTATATCATATTCAAAATAACTTTAGAAAAGTGTCTAATTCCTGCATATGTTGGACAATGCACGTAACAGTACAACTTAAGAGCTGCATAGTTTTTAATTCTGAAAACACATAATAATTAGGGAAAGGGCTTTACTTATTACCCACATATATGAATTGTAGATTTCCTTAACTATACACTTTACAGAAAACAAAGAGCACTGCTCTGTGCAAAACACTATTTTCAAAGCACTAGATCATACAAAAATCAAAAACATTTTTTATTTGACTATTCATTAAATGGTATTTTTCAAAAGTTAAACTTTAACTTTCTATACCTAGCCATTTTGGTCCTAAAGCAAATTAAAAAAAATAGCACTTTTTAATTCACGGAAAAAGTTTATTTTCCACTTTCCTAGCGGAACTTATTTTCCTTTTCTTTTCATTGTGCTCAATTTTACCAAAACAACCTTGCCTACAAGAAGAGACAAAAGCCTGGAAAATTTAAGCCTGAGAGATGAAAGTGTCAGGAAGTGTTTAGTGCCTGAGAACATTTACGCAATCTTAACTGTAGTAGGTGTAGTTTGCACTGTAACAAAGTTTGAAAATTAATGTTTGTACAGATCCTTCTTCTTAGCAGCATAGATGGTTATTTCATAATATCTTCCCATCACCTTTTTGCCTAGTACTCGATGATGCTTATGAATTCTATGCCTGGTCTACGAGTTTAAAGTTTCTCAAATGTATTTCTAACAAAATGCAAACTAGGGCTCCAATAGTGCACCTGGGGCAACACAGATGGACACAGAGCTTCAACAAGTTGAGCAAAACCTTCTGTGGAAAAGGGGGCATCCTATGCATATCCAGTCAGACTGCAAGATCTACTAAATGAATGGTCACTACTGTTCACTCCTAACAGTGACTGCAACTTAACTTGTACAAAACAAGTAAGCTAACAAAGGAATTGTGTGTTTAATCAGTCCTTCAGAAAGTGATTTACTTTATTCACATATATAAATAAAAACGCAGTATTCACAAAACAATTTCATTTAAAAATATGAAAATGGCCCACTTAATTAAAAACATTATATATAAAATTTTAATATACAAGAGATCTTGGGGCTTTACAGCAGTTTTAAAACCAAAAGCAGCATGTTCTACATAGTTTAATATTTTCTATGTCTACAGTGTACATAGATACAAAGACTTTACATTTTTTTAAACCTGAATTTCAATATATAAACAATTAGTATAGCTGCCCATATACATGCATACAAAGTTACAAATTGACTGCAAACTAGTACTGAAATATCTGTAAAAAGCCACCTCATTGTCTGCTTTACAGAATAGGTAGATGAAAAAAGATCTGACTAACCTGGATTTTAATGGTCAGAGATTTTGGACTTTAAGACTTTGTTTTGGGCTAAGTGAAAGCTTCAGGTGTCATCATAACATCATGCAGTAATTTAAGACTTGTCAGTGGTGTACCATAACATTGTTCTTATTAAGTAAATACATGCACCTGTTTCATTTTTGAACTCTACAGTGTTGGACTGCTATCTTACAGCAGTGTTCAAGTGGTATAGGAAGCCTAAGTCCTAAAAAAACAATCAAACTTAACAATCATGCATCATTTAGGTACTTTTGATATTTTTACCATGAGTACATACATTTATTCAGGAATATATCAGGCTGCCAGACTGCAGTCCGAAGATACACACTGCATTATTTTTATTCTACCAAACAGCGTAATAATGCTCAGTAGACTATCCTCTTTAGGATCAGTAACATCACTAATCCAAACAAAAATATGAAAAAATGTTAAGGTTAACCTTCTAATATTCTTGTCTGAAGTTGGATACTAACACCCCAAACCTGCAATGGTATCTCTGTGGAGGTGTATTTCAGCACACAATCGGATTCTTATTGAAGTCAGTGGGTATCTAAATGAGACCATCTACATTAAATGCACAGTAAGACTGGGCTCCGAGTGCAAAATGCTGCCAACGGATACTTATACATAACATACAATTAAATCAATGGGAGTAAATGAAGGTACAGTAGCAGAATTTGGCCCTAAATCTGTTTGAACATTTTAAGGAAATGTTTGGGAAGAGAGTAGCAGAAGATAGGACAATAGAGACAGAAAACAAGAAAATGTATTCCACTAAAAATAATGGGCATTTATACATGTACCTTTGTCTGCTCTGACACACCAGAAATCCAGCACATAGGAGAAGACTCAATTAATTAAGTCTGCAGAGCACACAAGCTGATGCACCCAGCACTGCATCGCATGCATTTATATAAATGGCAAAATGCAGAAAATATGGTGTGCAGAAAGTGGCGGTGGTGCACTTTTAAACTAAAACACCTTTGACGTGTTTTAGGTCAAAAGTGTGCCGCTATTTTCTCAGCACTGACACACATTTTGCCGTTTATATAAATGCATGTGACACAGCACTGGGTGCTTTTAAAAGCGCCTGACACTGGGGCACACATGAGTACAAATGGTGAATATTTCTTCTACAACTTTAGAAATGCTACCCTCAGAAAAGCCAATTCAGGTGCCCAGGAAATAGCAAAAGCTACAGAAACCCACATCACTTGAACAATTAAATACAGAATGGATCATCTTTTACTTTTATTTTATTAAATTTATTTTTTCCTTAACTAAACAATAGCCCATTTTAAAAAATGGTCCAGGGCCTGATTACTATTTAAAGCCTTCTCAGTTCTTCTAAAATTGTAATAGGAAAACCAGATCCTAGACATATGAACTGACTTGAGAAACCTGATAGTTAAAATATTTTAATTTGGGAGGTATTCTGAGCTACTATATTACCAACAACGTGATCTGCCTTGGTTGTCTTAAGCTGTACTTGCTAAACAAAAAAATCTTATTAAAGCTTTTAATAATAAAACAAAAAGTAGAGTGTTTGAGATATTATGCGCTGACAGGGCCTAAAATCACCTTGACCCCACGTACCTGATCTAGTACCCATGATCAGGGTATTAAACTTTGGAATCATCTTATAATTGAAGAATATGTAACAGCTTTCTGGCCAAGACCCAAGAAAATATTTAAACCATAATTTAGGATAAAGAAAAGACATTACCTGTGAGCAAACTAGAGAGTGTTCCATTTTGCTTCTGCCCTGGACTTAACTGAATGAAATACTTATGATTACAGTAACTATGGTTGGCTACTATAAGCTACCTAAAAGGTTCAGGGTGTAGGTGCCTACACCAAAAAGAAAAGAAAAAAAGAAAAGAAAAGAAATATCAACCTTGGCATTTAGAATGAAATATTCCAGCGGTACCATCATACACAATCATTAACAGAACCCTCCTCTGTTCTGGGGGGGGGTTAGAAACTAAATTTAAGCAAGAAATTAAAATGCATACTATTCATATTCCAAGATGATGAGTTATATATCTACAAACTAATAAAAGCAAAATACTCAGAAAACTAAATCTCTCAGAGCACTGGAATGTAGTTGTTTATAAAACTGCACTGTAATTTAAAAGTATTATTCTACAAATTCGTTTCTCTCTTACAATTAGCTTAGTCAAATGTCACCATTAAGATTAAATGCATTCTTTTATAATAGCTGCTTGCGTAAATTTGAACTAAAGGTTATGGTTAATTATGAGCAATCTTATTTTTATCATAATAATAGTACCAGTACTAAATATATTGCATATAACTGCTGAAAATAATGACCATGATACTGGTAGTCCATGGATCAGAATAAAAATATACTCATATTCGATCCATATAAAGATATTACTGCATCTACAGACAGCACCAAAGTCTGATGACTTCGCTAAGAAATAAAGTCTATAGTAACCTGATTTTGATCTTAAGTATTATGGCTCAAATTAATAAATACTGCCACCAACAGCAGAGGAGAATGCAATATGACATGTTTCCATTGCTAACAGAATTTTTTTCTAAGTGAAAAACAAAGCTAGAAACAAATAGCACCTATGCTTTGTCCTGAAACACAGCATTTTCATTAGGCAATAAAACTAAACAAGAAAGTTGTTCTTCCAACATATTTCAGAAAGACTTAAAACAACTAATGGATTCCTACTAAAATTTCTGTTGAAAAATATGCTATTAAGACACATACAAGATCATTTTCTACAATGTAGAAATACTCAGTCTTAACATCTAGATATTTTTTAAAAATTTAAATTGTACTATGCTGTTGTCAGAAAATCTGGTCCCATCAAAGTTGGTAAATAGCTTATCACTAAGTATAAAAGCCAGTGACTGATCTTAATGATGTTTTCAATAATTTAACACAAGCAACATAACAGAAAAGAGGTTACAGAAAAAAAATAAAGAATGAAATATGAAATAGTGATGAACTACTGTATAAGACAGTTGCATAATTATAATTATCAGAAACCTTAATCTTTAAACTTAAAAATCTCTGAATCAAACTACCCCATAGCGGTATCTTCTTGGGATTTATTTATTTATTTATTTATTTATTGGGGGTGGGAGGAGTCCAAATTAAATCTGTTGTGTTTCTTGTTAGAAAATTACTTTAAATATCTACTAATTTAAAAAGTGCTACCTACAAGATAATGGTCTACACTATAGATTCAATTCCTACACATTTAAGATGAGGATTTGTCAATTAAAAATGTTATCAATTTAAAATATACAAAAAATAAGGATTAAAAAATTCAGTGCAACAGTTTAAAACATATAAATGTTGTTAATCAGCTTTATTTTGAGATCTATCAAATATAATTAAAAAAATAGAATTTTAATTCTGGGTCACAGAATAAATTACCCAATATGAAACATTTAAAAATATATATTTAAAAAGATGCTGAAATATAAGCACTCATTTTTTCCTCTGCATTACACTATTCTTGTAAAAGCTTTCTTCTGATTAGCTTTTACAATGTCATCAGGGGATGCTGATTTAAAGTCAAATGGTGCTATTTCTATTATGGGACCAATTTCCTTATCTTTTGCTTCTTGTACTTGTCTACTGTAGAGGAAAGTCTTATGGATATCCATTGTGCCCTGTTTACATCCTTTTGGGGGATAATGGAGACACAAAGTTAATGCAAAAGCTGAAGGTCTGGCACGGAGAGCTTTCATCCACAAAAGAGAGGGATCCCGCCTCCTAAGAAGCAGCCCTTTTTTGCCTTTTTTGGGTTTCTTAGTGAAATTCGTTCCTTGCTGTGAAGCAAAAGATTTAATTTCTGGGATACAGATACTTGACTGGCCAACTACAGGTTCCACAGATATTTCTGTTTTTTTAATAAGGACACTTAGGTCAATGTTTGGATGTATTTCTTCAGAAGGTGACATTTCAGTTAAATTGAACCTGGAATAGTCTGTTGTTTCTTGAGTTTTATCCACTTCAATGGTTTCCGCAATTAAATCTGAAAGGGATAAATTTTCAAGTTCTCTTACAGGAGAAACAGAGTGTGCCAGAGAAGAAAGAGATCCTGTTAATTCTGGCATCCCACCTGAAGCTTGATGTTGACTAACTAGTTGTGACAATGATGATGTTCCCAAGTTCACATCTGTAAAATTCATATGTGACTTGTTATAAAGATCAGACAATGAGTAAAAGTAGCTTGGGTTATTACTCCCCTGGTGTTCTTCAGGTGATGGACTTCCATACTTTAAAAATGGTAAGCTATCCATTTCTGGCCAGGGGGTATCCTGCTTGGTACTTTGCAGAAGCGAAGAAGAATTTTCAAAAATATCTGTCTTTCTGTTGAGAGCATGACTTACTGTACTATCAAGTGCTAATTTCCCTAAAGCATTTATTAAGCCAGGAGGACTATCCAAACTTGCCTTATTAATATTATCTGAAGTATTTAAGACACCACATAGCACACTAACTGGAAGATTTAAAGAATCAGTCACATTCTGCTTCAGCAAAGATTTTAAGTCTTGTGTTTCCTTGCACTCCAACTGCTTCCAAGAATTTCCAGGTGGGTTATTTTCCAGTAATTCAACACCCCCTTTAATGCAAGTTTTGTCTTCAGTGGTAGAAAAGAAACTTACTGTGCCAGTACTGTACGGTAGATGCTCTGCTGCCTGTTTATCACAAGATTCATATAATGATTCTTTACAAAAATCTGTATTGAAAGAAGATAGAACTCCTGAAGACTTATGAGAAGATTCTAATATTTCCTTTCCAACTGAGGGCACAATTAAACTTTTATCTTTTAAGACCATTTTGTCACTTTGCACTAAAGAATAACAAGGTGGCCCAGCTCTGACCATCAGGCTACTAAACCCAGTTGTACTGGTGTTATCTGAAGTGTTTTCTACTAAATAGGACAAATGCCCTACATCAGCAAACATTTCTGAACAAAGTAAGTCTCCTTACCTTACAATAGCCAATAGTTTTCAGTTAGAAGCATGGCCACAATGAAAAGTTCGGGGGGGTTTCAAAGCAGACAGCAGCAAAGTCAAAAAGAAACATGAAAAGGCATTTAATTACTAAAATGTTACTGAAAAATTAAAAATATTTTTACATGTGTGCGCCAAAAAAACAATTATTACGTAACTAATTTTTACAACTATCCAACAAAAGAAACAGTTACTGAATGCGTCAAAACTTAAGAAGTCTGAATCCAATTAAGTTACTGAACAAACTGTATAAACAGTCTTGCAATATCACTATAAGCATTTAAAATGCTTGTTTGCTTGTATTAAAGTCATGCAATTTTCAATAGGGGTGCAATGATAAAGATTTTCTGGGCCAATACCAATGGCCAATTTTTAACAAACCATATTGGCTGATACCAATCCAATTCCAGTATGCAGCCCCACAGCGTGAAGAACGGAGACCGGCTGATAAGTGTGCTGTGGGGGAATGAGGTGCGGGGAGGGAAGGTGCGTGGGGGGAGGGGCAGAGTGAGGCCCCTGCAGTGAGGGAGGGAGTGGGGCTGGGGCAGGCACTGCACAGCCAGGACAGAGTGGGGCACCATATGGAGTCACGGCTTGTTCAGGGAGTGCAGGAGGAGGGGGGCTCCCATGACTGCACACACCCCAGAAGGGCATGGGGGTGGCATGTGCCCCCAATCTGCAAGCAGGAGAGGGCGGGCTGCCGCTGCGAGGTGGGGCTAGCACCAAGCTCTTCCCTATGGGGGGGCTGAACCAGGCTATGCTCGGGGTGAGCAGTGGTGTGGCTATGGGAGGGCTACGTTGAATTCTGGGCTAGCTCTAGACACTCAGACTCCAAAGAAGTTTCTCCTGATGTCCAGTCTAAACCGGCCTTCCAGAAGTTTATAACCGTTAGACCTTGTTATCCCTTGAGGGCACCTGGTGAACAACTGCTCTCCCAGGTCCTGATATACCCCTCTTATATACTTATAGGCTACCACCATGTCACCCCTGAGCCTTCTCTTTTCCAGGCTGAAGAGTCCCATGTCCCTCAGCCTCTCCTCGTAAGGCTTGCTCTCTTGGCCTTTGATCATATAGGTGGCTCTCCTTTGGACTCTCTCAAGCTTATCCAAATCCCTCCTGAAGTGGGGGGCCCAAAACTGGATGCAGTACCATGCTTCCCCTTTACTGCCCCATGGGCACAGGTGGTCCCCCTGGCAATGCTGCCCTGCAAACATGGATAGCCCCCACTTCAGCTCCCTCACTGCACCCCAGGTTAAGATCTGCACCCTCTGGTATGGGAGCAAGAAACTAAAGCTGAGGGTGGGAGGGGGAGCCTACAGACCACAGCTGCAGTAGCAGCCAAAGCAACAGGGAGAACGATGGCCAGGTAAGAGCCCAAGGACCACACCCAAACCCACCAGTTGGACAGCCCTGCTTTAAAGAGACATTCTATTTTTTTAAACCCTGATATTTATTGCAATTAGAAGAGTAAAATAGCATTCTTTTGTTTTCAAATGAATGACTTTAACACAGGCATAAAACAGAATTCTCCTGTGTGCAGGGAACAAACCATTTCTAAACCAAAAGACAAGTAAATAAATGCGTACCTTCTGCTGCCTTTCCTGTAATGACTGTGCATTCATTCTCAGCCTTTGTATTCCCCTTACTATCTTGTGCAAGGACAAGATCCAATGCTTTCTGTACATCAAATTTACTATTCAGCACTGCTTCCACCATCACCTGCTCTGGTACAGACTCTGCAAGAACTTCTCTCATCTGGTCAAGGCATGAATAAAGTCGAGCTGCAAAAAATGAAGGTAATAAATGCTTGTTTTGTAGTTCTGTAACTACAAACACCATACTTTCAGCAACTATTTTTGGGATAAGACCAAATTGGAAGAATTATTATTTTCCCTCAAAAAAAAACAGTGAAATCTGACCTTTTGTAGAGCAGGTGTCACACCAACCTTCAAGGAACACAAACATTCTTACAAAAAACACCTAAAGGCCCTATTATTTAGACTTTATCAACTTGAACTACATTTATTTAGAAAGGAAATGCAAATAAGCAGCTTAAAACTGTTCAAGTAATTTAGTAAACCAATGTGGATCCATTTAACAGCACATTTTAAGTATTTACAGATGCTGTAATTAACTTCTAAGGTAAACAGCATCTTTTCAGGCCTCAGGATTTAACAGCCGAACAACAATAAATGCTAGCAGCTTGAGATTAACACTCCACCTCCAAAGCTACCTGTAATTTTTACCTTTCCTAAAACTGAGAGAGACTTTCTAGGTCTTAAACTTCCTTGTCTTTATAACAAGCTTCTCTATCACTACTAAATACACTACAAAAGGTAAAGGGAAATGAAAAGTATGCTACAGAAAAAAGGACAATTCAAGAAAACTGAAATAAAGAAATAGTGCACTCCCCATATGCATACTGAATAATTACCCAATCTTCTTAGCTGCATAACATAACACAAGTCCCAAGTGATTACCTATTGCTTGCACTGTAATGAGCCCCTCTTATCCACAAATTGATTAGAAGCATAAGTTTGCCTAAATATGTAGCACCTTTCAGCATCACTCCTAACTGCATAGTAACTAACTATACTCCATTTAGCTGAGCAAAAGGAGAAAACCATGAAGGAGAAAGCAACTGACAAATGCCTGTATCTAGAAGCCTTGAAAATGAAGAATGCTAGTCCATTTCAGGGCTATCTTCTCTTATTTACCAGGCTTGTAATATCAGTCCTGAAAGTGACTATTAGAAGCCTAGAAAATGAGGGGAGCTAGTGAGTTTTGGAGCTATCACAGCATTAACAGTGCAGCATACTCAAAAAACATCCACTCTTACATAAGTTTGGAAAATTGCACAGCAATTTTTCACTCCAAAGGCTTAAATGGACTACAATGCATACCAAAAGTTTAAATTTGCCTCAAAATTTAAACTACTTGTGTTAAAAACAGCATTGCCAAAAATGCTCCCACTGCCAATTACCCACAAAGCCCTACTACAGACTGCTTTGATCTTCTTTTAATTTAATCCATTAGAAGCGTTTACTACCTCTTATAGTCAATCTGACCTTGCCTTTATTTTCCAACATCAATAATATCTGTACATCTTGTTAATATCTCCCCTAATTCCAATTTATAATTGCCAGTATAGAAAGCGATGAGAACTATCCTTGACAAAAAGTTTCACTGTGAGCCATTCATTGGTCAGATGTGTGCGTAAAATATTCCTTCTCTATTACTTTCACAAACAAGTGTGTATGTATACACACACATCTATACACCCCCCACCCCAGTTCTACTACAGCCACATCTTCGATTCTTTCTGTTCTATTCCACCAAAGAAAGTTGGAAGGGGAACTTCCAGTAGTGGTTTCTACCTTCAACTTCTAATGCTAACCATTTAAATACCATCCAAAGTTAAAAATAGTCAAATATTTCAGTTCAGCATGGTATTTAATAGCCCAGGAAAAAAAGAAAAAATATGTCCTACTGATACCATTCAAGTGATCCATTAGATTTCAACATTCACAACTAAAAGGCATAAGTCCTTCACCCCAAGTGAAGCAAAGGGGAGCCCTGATCTAAAAAAAAAAAAAAAAAAAAAAAAGTCTGACAGAAACAAGGTTAACCTCCTACCCCCAACTGGAACCCCAGACATCCAAAGCACTACTAGCGTTATGGAGGTTTTAAAATTAGTGCAGTTTTCAAGACTGCAAGAGCAACCATGAGATTTTTTAGTTAACAACGCAGCCACCAAAATAAACTTCACAAACTGATAACTAGATTGGACAAGAACTCAATCAACTTAACAAGGAAATGTGAAATTTACTAATACAATCCGTAAATTTCATATACACCATTTTTTAAAACAACAAGTTTTTTACATCACAAAAATAAACCTAATACAACACTAATTCATGTGATCCTGCCCTATTAAAATGGCCTAACCAAAGTCAATATGCAGAGCAAATCATATTCTTAGTAAAATGGGACCTTCTATGCCTAACTGAAATCAGCTAACATATATTAAAGAAAAAGGTTTTGCTTAAGAAAACTAAGGCCAAAAAGCATTAACATCCTGAAACTACTGTTTTTCAAAACTTCACGAATAACAAAAATAGGTTTATAGAGAACAACACCTGAGGCTCAGGGACTGCTCCCAAAAGCTATGTCTGTTAGGAGCTCCTGAACTTCCACTTATGGCATATACTCACCACAGTTCAGTTCCTAACTGTCTTGGTTACTTTTCCTAAATCACAGTCCTAAGTATATATGTAGAACTCCAGGGTAACGAAGAAAGTAGGATGCAAGCAAATACCCAGAGGCTACTCAAAAGAACCTAACTGGTAGATAATTTTTTTTTTCTTCAATGGTTTCTTTATTTACAGACTAGAAAGAGAAGTGAAACATGAACTGATACACTGTCAATTGACTAAAGGGTAAAAAACCTCTAGAACACAACTTGTTATGCTAATTCTAGAGAACAGCAAGTAGTGAATTTATAAACAAAACTCTCCCCCACCACACACACACACCCCCACACACACACACGGGGAGAGAGAGAGTCAATGAGAACACACACACACACACACACACAGAGAGAGGGGGGAGGGGGGGAGAGAGAGAGAGAGAGAGAGAGAGAGAGAGA